TGAGGACGTGGTGCCGCTTGGCAAGAGCCATGCTGTGGTGGGCATCCCATGTACAGGGTGGGGGAGGATGGGCATGGATGTTGGCTCGGGGCCGGTCTTCCTTGGCAAACGGGGTGACAGTAATGTTCCTTATCCTGTAGGGGTTTGCGTTACAGACTGTAGGAATTTGTCAAAACTTATTGAATGGTTCATTTGACATTTGCACATTTTATTGTGTGTTAACTTTACTTCAAAAGGAAAAAAAGATCTTTAAAATAAATATTAAACTTTTGTTAATGATATGCATGCTGAAGTGTCTAAGGGGAGTGTACTGATTTTGCCAATTACTTTGAAATATCTCAAAAATAAGGTGATTGATGGACGGATAGTGTGTCTGAACACACTGTTCATAAAATTTTGGACTTTGAGGACACTGAGGGTTAAGGCTTGCAGAAAGTGAGGAAAATCTTACTGGAAACCGGAGGAAAGGGAATCTTTGTTGTGTAGTGGTGGAAAGTTTAGCAATACTATTGTCTGCAGTTACGTGGAAAGCAGAAAATGTGTCTAATACTATGGGTAACCTAGCGAAGGAGATTTTCAAATAGTGTTGAAGGTGTTACCTGATTTCTTCTTGTGGCTTATAGTAAAATGCAAAAGCAGGGCGTTAAATTGAGAGCAAGACTGCAGAGAAGTCAAGGGTATGATGAAGACCTCAGAAACAACAAGGGTGGTGCCCAGTGTACTCTTCAGTCATATAAGAGCTCTTTAAAGAAATTAAAGGTGTGCTGCACAGATTCTTTCAAACATGCCCTGAGGAAGCTTAAGGGGTATTGTCCCTCCATTGTCTCAGCAGGGGCCCAAGGCAGAGAAGGTTTATGTGGAAAAGATTTGTAGGTGTGACTTCCGCCTAATGGAATGAACCCCCAGAAGAATCACAGGAGAGCCATAAAATTCTTGAAGGAACTATATATTCAGAAACACCTCTAGTTTGGGCTGAGAGGGTCAGAAATGGAATAAAATGAGGGGAGGCCTTTGAACTCTCAGAGTTCTACTGTCAAGATGCAGACTGAAAGACCTGCTCTGCTGCAAACACAGGCTATCTTTCATATAAAAAAAGGGGGGAAGATGACTCAGAGGGCAGAACACAGAACCCAAGAGCAGAGCTGAGAAGCACGGAAGAACCTTAACAGCCTGGGCCTTAAGACTTGATCAGGAAACTCCTGACGTTTTCAGAATGCTGGGGCCCAATGACTCCTCGTCTACTGAGGTTTCTGTATGCCTGTCCCACCACTCTGTGTTGGGTATGTGGGACAGAGATAACCTGTTTCTTTGTTTCATAGGTTGAGAAGAAATGTAGTCAGAGAGCTGCACTTAAGGAACTAACCCTGAGGAGCCTCAGCTGCACCCGCAACTGATTTACACCGGAAATTCTGGGCACTGAGCTTGTGCTGTAAGAGGAGGAGACTTTTGCAAGCCTTGAGGCGTGAATACATTCTGCATGTGGGAGGGCTGTAAATCACAGGGCCAAAGGGCAGACTGTGGTAGCCGGGTTCCAGGATGGCCACCAATGACCACTATCTACTGTCCTCATGCCCTCCTCTTGAATGAGGACTGGATATACTGATTTGCATCTAACAGAACAGATGGGAGTGATGCGAGGTCAGCTCTGAGACTAGGTAATAAAAAGATGGTGGTTTCTGCGTTGAGTGCTCTGGCTTGCCCCTTCTTAGGTCCCTGGCCTGGGGAAGCCAGCGGCAAGGTTGTGAGCAGCCCTGTGGCGAGGCTCACAGTGTGAGGGATTGAGGTCTGCCACCAAGGAGGTTGAGCCCCTCACTGCTGCCCACAGCCTGACTGGCACCTATGGGAGGTGCAGAGCCAGAGGGACGAAGCTAAGCCATGCCTGTGAGATAACAGAATCTGTGAGATAAAGAATTTTTTCCATTTTAAGTTACTAACTTTTGGGGGCAATTTGTTATGCAACAATAGACTACTACAAAGAGGAACAGAATTGAGACACCAGCATGGAAGGGAAAAAGGTAAATCAGAGGGTCGATAGGACACAGTCCTCTTTTCTCTTAAAATAGTGAAGAATAATCTTGAAGATAAAGAGGGGATATGAAATGATCAGTGTTCAAATAAGGAAACAGTAAGAAAACACAACAGTAGAGGAAGGTGAGTAAGAAGGGAAAGGGCTAAGTACTCTTGCTGAAGATTCCTCTATGACCCAAGGAGATAAACAAAAGGCTGGCTTAAGCAAAAAGAAGGCCAGTGTGGTCTCTGAGCAGGAGAGGCTGGGTCATGGAACCACTGAGAGGCTTCTGACATCATGGAGGTATCAATGAAAAGTCACACAAACCCTCATAAGGGATTATATTCTGGGAACCATAATTACAGAGTCACTAGGGCTGCTCTGAAATGACTGATGCTGAGGAAGGAAGAGGTGACGCAATCTCTAGGAATTCAGCATTTATTTTGGAAGCAGTATCTGGAAAAAAAAGAACTGCTGGCAAATCTTTAAGCTCACATTATTAAGGAGGCCAAGGATGATTATTTAGATGTAAAATGGTTGCTAGAGGTGATGTAGTTGCATGGGTAAAAAAATTTTATAAAGTTATAAATCTGCTGTTTGAAATACTGGACAGACGGGAGGCGTGGACACAGTCACTGAAATGTGAGGCCCAGCTATGGCAAAGAAGGGAGCACCATCTGACTGGACAGATCCTCACCTGGGGAAGTTAAAGCCTAAATGTAGATTGCAGCAGCAGCATGATGCCAGGCAGTTCCCATGCAAACAGAAAAAAACTCTTAAAGAAAAGCAAAGCAACTAAGAAAATGTCAAAAAAATTCAAAACTTAAATATAGCCTAAAATAATACCTCTTTTTTAAATCTAGGAAAAAATGTAATTACTATTGAAAAACAAATATCTGGTCACATCTGCCAAATGAGTCAAGTGCCTAATACCATGCTGGGTACGGTAGTGAACACATAAGAACTCTGGCCCCCACGTGCTTAGGACCTAGTTGGAGACTCAAGCTGTATGTGGTAAACAACTAGAGGAAGAGTCAAGAAAGGACAGTCAGCCTGACAAGAAGATCGTCCTTGGGGTGGTGAGCTGAGGTCCAGAGGGAGAAGAGCAGCTGGAGAGAGAGGACGAGGAGCCCAGAGAGGAGCCGGAGGGACTGTGTGGGTGGCTGGAGTTGGAGGAGAGACCCTAGCTCTGAATGTCACGGTGGAGGGGGTTGGAGGAGCGACTCTGATCACCAGGGTCCAAGAAACCTCTGCAGGCAGTGTCAGTGAGCTGATGACCCACAAAGGATGGAGATGGGAAGAGTGGAGAGTAAACTGGGATACTGGAGTAATTACCCATTCTGTCATTTCACAAATAACGAGTGCAGTTTGGGGCCAGGTCCTGTGGAAATGCATGGATCAACTCTGTCCCTGAGGCGTACATCCTGGTGGGGAGGCCCGGGAGCTGGATGGATAACACTCACATGAGGCAGAGGGCACCAGGAGACTCCCTTGTGAATTCTCTGGCTAGGGAGATGAGGATAGGCTTGGAGAAAGGGGTTTCGTCTGCCTGGGACTTGGATTCTTCAGAGCAATTTGGGAATTAAAGAAATTAGAGCAAGAAGAAGGTGGTTAAAAAGGGGAGTAAAATCATAAACTTGTTTTTTTTCTTAGCAGAAAATGGCAACAGCTTGTGACCAACATGAAGGCACATGAAGACATGGTGAATCCAATTTTCCCAAGTTGGTTGAGGAAGGACAGGTGAAAAGGGAGGTGGAAGCAGCAACACTGTCAGCATCGGGCTTAGAGCCAGTGCAGTGCCCCATGACTCCCCCAGGCTCAGAGACTCAAAGAGGGTTCTGCAGGGAGGCACGGAGGGAGCATAAACACAGGTCAAAGGGGGCACGACCAAGGGGCGGCCGGCGGATAAATTAGGTAAAATTAAATCCTACCCTGGTTAAAACTAAAACTGATATAGGGTCTTTGAGCAAGATATTTAAAGGCTGAAGAGAAAACCAAGATGATTACATCTTAAGTATGTATATCTTTCTGCATTCCTTGTTCCACAAAGAAAAAATAATGAATAAAACAAAAAAGCCTTGAAGTATGTTTCACCATAATAACGATCACTTCTGTGCTTACTCTTTGCTAACCACTGTTGAGAGAGCTCAATAAGTATTAACCATTTAATCCCCACTGCAACTGTGCAAGGAAAATACAGTTATCACCTTGTTACCAGTGAGACTGAGGCACAGAGAAGTTAACTTGCCTTGGGTCTCACAGCTTGTAGGTGACCACTAAGCTAGACTGCTTCTCACAAGTATCCTGAACCTGGTCACAAACTTTGGGTAGATTCACCCTCTAGTGGAATGAGTTTAGTGCCACTTACAATAAGAATAAGACCAGAAATCCTTATTATGAAGACGATAACCTTTGACTGACAGTGGATAGTCCTTTAAAAATCACACAGGATTACCAAGCAGGTTTGAGGGACACAATGTGACAAAGCTGTAAATGGATGTGAGTGGCCAGGAGGAAGATTAAAAAGGAAATACAAGGTCTAGGTCCAGGGCAGAGAGTTCATCAAATGGACACTTGTGATAACATGAAGGCAGCCAATCCCCCGATAAGGATTCACACAACAGACACTACGCTGTGTGGACACGAGGCCCTGGGAGACTGGGGGCCGCATGGCATGGCACTGTAATCATGCACTGATGTGGGAGTAATCTTGCATATCTCTAAAATTTGTCTCCTTTTAGGAACTGTTTCCAAAAGAATAAGACTGGACATTTGGTGAAAATATGATATAAGAATCTAAGACATCACTACTGTAAAATATATTTATATTGTAAAACACTTGCTGGTTTGTAATTAATAAAGCATGGCTTTTTCAAAGGCAGAGAAGGTACAAGCTTCCCTCAGATCCCACCAGCAATGATGTCAGGACACAGGGAAGGCCGTGGAGGGCCAGAGGAGGCTGAGTGCAGAACCCAGCAGCTGTGACTGTTACCTGCTGGGTTTCCTTTGACAGGGCAGGAACTGGAGCTGTCTCCTGCTGTGTCACATCTGTGTCTCCTCCTTCACCGTCTGATGCTCCTAGGAAACAAAGTTCAACAATTAGGAAAGTGTCTCTCTTTCTCTTTCTTTCTTTCTTTCTCCCATTGCTAGTGCCATCTTGGTACCACCTTCCTGGGAGGGTCTATCCCTTGACTTAGTAATTCCACCTCTAGGATACTGAATTTAAGGAAATGATCCAAAATGAAGATAGAGATTTAAGCACCAAGATGGCAGTCTCTGTCGAAAAGTGATGATTATCCAGATGTCTGACATTAGAAAATACTTAATTATGGAACACTCACACTGATTTTACAGACATTAAGCTCCCCATTTTCAGATAAGCAAGTTGCTGCTTAGAGGGGTGAAGCAATTTGCCCCGGGTCACACACCTGGGAACCCAGATCTACTTGAGTCCAGTCTTCCCCACAAATGATACTGTCTACACTGAGAGCCAGCCCGCTCTTGACACCTGGGTGCTGGCCCCAGCGGGCATGTTAAGAGATTGTGACAAAAGGATTATAGATCATGAGAAATATTTGTTTTGAATTTTACTAATCTTTCAACAATGGAAAAAATAAATTTTTACTTTAAGAATCAAGAAAAATGAAAGTTTTAATGGTTTTCCTGTTTATAAAGCTCTCTTGAAGGAACACGGCAACCATAAGTTTCTTCCTTCCCACAATGCCACACTGCCTTCCAGATTTCAGTGGGTGCTCTTTAAAACACATTTTTGAATCTTTAAAAGGCTTTATTCATTTTCTTTGAGTTACTCTAAATTACCCCAAGGTCAGCTCAAATGAGTGATTAAGTTGGCGTTAAAAGTATTTATAGAACTTGTGCTTCTGGGAAGATGGTAGTAGTAGTATAGTTTTCCCTATTCCTCCTGCTAAGTACAACTAAAAATCCTGGACATTATATAGAAAACACACATAGGGAGACTCTGAAAGGCAGAGGGAGTAAGGAAGACCTGCTAGGGACTTCGGGGCCCAAGGAATAACATAGTGGTGAGCTCCCTGGGTTATCTTTTTGCCTCATTACCTCAGACTTGGAGGTAAGGAGCCAGCAACTTGGAAATGCCAATGGAACAGGAAAAAAAATGTCCCAAGAAACATCTGCTCTATTTAACAAAATGACCAGGAAAGGAGCAGCGTAGCAAGACTGAAAACTTTTAGACAGAAACCACTCGACTCTAGCCAAACACCACAGGAAATCATGGCCCCACCAGCAAAGGCTGAGTGGGGAGCCTAGACATCCACCCTTGCTAGGCTATAATGAGGTGCCCCAACTCCTCATCCACCTCCCACTAGGGTGCTTGCTGTCAGAGACGATTTAGTTGAACCCCTCAAAAGGGATTTTCATCCCTGAAGGGTGGTAACACACCCCTGTCCCCTCCTCTCATCACCACTGCCACCACTCAGTATCAACGGAGACCACATGGTGAGCCTGGACTTCCACCTCGTCCAGGCAGTAAAGAAGTGCGCTCTCCCTCCCTGCTAGGACAGAGTCCAAAGGAGCCCTAGAAGACAGTCAGGGCTTTCCAAACTGCCTAGCGGTAATGAGGGCACACCTACACTAATGGTTTTAGCAACCACTTGAAAAGCAATACAAAGAGATACACTCAAAATCACTAAGATAAATTAAAATAGAATTCTAAAAATGTTCAAGTAACCCACAGGAAGGCAGGAAAAGGACAAACTGAGCAACAAAAAGCAAACAAACAGAAAAGACAAAATAAAATGGTAGATTTAAACCCAACATATCAATAATTACATTAACGTAAATGGTCTAAACACACCAATTTAAAGACAGAGATTAAAGAGCGAGTTAAAAAACATGACCTAACTATATGATGTTTACAAGAAACTTACCTCAAATATAATAATATAGGCAAGCTGAAAGCAAAATGATGGAAAAAACGTAACATGCAAATATTGACCAAAAGAAAGCAGGAGTGGCTCCGTTAATATCAGACAAAGTAGACTTCAGAGTAAAGAAAATTATCAGAGAAAGAGGACATTATATAATGATAAAAGGGTGAATATGCTAAGATATAGCAATCCTAAACGTGTATGCACCAAACAACAGAGCTATAAAATATGAGCAACAAAAACTGATAGAAATGAAGGGAAAAATAGATATTCCTACAATTAAGTTGCAAACTTCCAAAAGTCCTCTCTCAAAAATTGAGAAAATGACTAGACAGAAAATCATCAGGGATATGAAAGAGCTCAGTGACATCATTAACCGATAGGATTTGATCAACATTTGTGGAACACCGCTCAACAACAGCAGAATATAGTTTCCAAGTGTTACGGAACACATGCCAAGTCAGACCATATTCTAGGACATAAAAGGATGACAAATTTAGAAGAACTGAAATTGATACACAGCCTGTATAAAAAACATACAACAAACATTATACTTGACAATGAAAGACTGAATGCCTTCTCTTTGATTGGGAACAAGGCAAAGATGTCTGCTCTGACTGATAATTATTCAATGTAGTGCTAGAACTTTTAACCAGTGCAAAATGGCAAGAAAAGGAAATAAAAGACATACACATCAGAAAAGAAGAAAGCACACTGCCCCTATTTGCAGATAACATGATTATTTACATAGAAAATCTCAAGGAATCTAACAAAAACAAAACAAAACTGCTAGAATTAGATGAGTTTAGCAAAGTTGCAGAGTAAAAGATAAACATGCAAATATCAATTCTATTTCCATATACTAGCAATGAACATGTGAACACAAAAATTAAAAGTACAATGCCATTTACAATTGTTAAAAAAAAAAACCCTGAAATACTTACGTGCAAATTTAAGAAAACGTGTACAGGATTTGTGTGCTGGAGACTGCAAAACACTGGTTAAGGAAATCAAAGAAGACATAAACAAATGGGGAGACATGTCATGTTCATGGACTGGAAGGCTAATCACAGTAAAGATGCTAGTCCTCCCAAAATTGATACAGAGGTTTAACAAAATTTCTATCAAAATCCCAGCAAGATTTTTCTCTGGCTATAAGCAGATTATCCTAAAACTTATGTAGAATGGCAAAGGAACTAGAAGAGCTAAAACAATTTTGAAAAACAATAATCAAGTGGGAGGAATTAGTCTACAGAATTGCAAGATTTATTATATAGCTACAATAATCAAGACTGTGTGGTACTGGCAAGGGATGGACACACAGATGAATGGAATAGAATACAGACTCAGAAAGACACACACACAAATATGCCCAACTAATTTTTGACAAAAGTGCAAAAGCAATTCAGTGGAAGAAAGATAACTTTTTCAACAAATGGGGAAAAATATAGGCAAAATAATGAACCTCTATCTAAGTTTCACACAAAATACAAAAACTAACTCAAAATGGATCACAGACAAATGTAAAACGGAAAACTATAAAACTTTTAGGAAAAAAAGGGAGAAAACCTTCAAGATCTAGAGTTAGGCAAAGAATTCTTAATTTTGACACCAAAAGTACAACCAATAAAAGGAAAAATTGATAAATTAGATGTTATCAAAACTGAAAACTTTTGCTTTGCAAAGATCCTGTTAAGAGGATGGAAAAATAAGCTACAATGTGGGAGAAGTATTTGCAAACCACATAGGTAACAAAGGACCGACTAGTATCTAGATAATATGAAGAATTCTCTAAGTTCAACACTAAAAAAATGAAGAAATTAGGAAACGGCAAAAGACATGAAGAGATAATTCACTGAAGAGGACATACTATGGCAAATAATTACAAGAAAACACCTTCCACATCATTGACCAATGGGAAAACGCAAATTAAAACTACAGTGAGATATCACTACAAACCTATGAATGGCTAATACAGAAAAATAGCACCATGCCAAATACTGATGAGAATGTGGAGAAACTCAGTCACTCATACCTTGCAAGTGGGAATGTGAAATGGTACAACCACTTCCCTTCCACAAATGGAAAAGTTTGGAAGTTTCTTAAAAAACTAAACATACAACTACAATACAACATAGCAATTGCACTCCTGGGCATTTATCCCAGAGAAATGAAATCTTACATTGACACAACAATCCGTACAGCTTTCTTTGTTTGCAGTGGCTTTATTTGTTATTTATAACAGCCAAAAAAATAGGAACAACCTGGATGTCCTTCAAGGAAGGAATGGTTAGACAAACTGTGGTATATCCCTACCCTGGAATATTACTCAGCAATAAAAAGGAACGAACTATTGACACACAAAACAACCTAGATGAATCTCTAGAGAATTACGCTGAGAGAAAAAAGCCAATTCCAAAAGGTTACATATCATGTGATTCCATTTATATAACATTCTTGAAATGACAAAATTACAGAAATTGAGAACAGAACGGTGGTTGCCAGGGGTTATGGAGGGGGTGGAGTTGGGAGGGAAGTGAGCATGGCTACAAAACAGCAACATCAAGGATTCTTCTGTGGATGGAAATATTCTGCATCTTAACTGTATCAATGTCAACATCCCTGTTTTGATATTGTACTATAGTTTTGCAAATGAATCTACAGTGATTTCAAAATTAAAAAGTTGAATTAAAAAAAAGTCTTAAAGGAAATCCATCCTCTTCTTTAGGAAGCCCAAAATTATTATGCTGAAAAAGTCAACAGATGTGTGGCTGGCCGTGGACCAGAATGGATAACCAACCTGCTGCTGGGGCACCCCTGCCACTGCTGTCCTGACCCCGAGAGGACAGGCAGGCAGCCAGGTTCAGAGAACCAGAGTCAGCCTGGGAGGTCAGGATGGAATCTTCAAAGATAAAAGCCCCTGGCCTATGGCTGTCAGATAAAGTACAGGACGCTCCATTAAGTTTGAATTTCAGTTAAACATTAAATAATTTTTTAGTATAGGTATGCCCCAAATATTGCATGGGGAATATCTATATAGTATTAAAAATTATTCACTGCTTATCTGAAATTCAAATTTAATAAGGTCTCATGTATTTTTACTTGCTAAATCTGGTGACCCCACCTGGGGAATTTCCTTCCCCAGAAAAGATCACTTTAGTCCTGCGAAAC